GGGGGGGTGGTTACTGAGAGGATTAAGTGTAAAAGAGTCTGGTATGTAGCAAGAGCTCAATAAATGTTTGCTTTTTTTATTTTTAAGAGATGTCACTTCATATGCAAACCATGGACTCTCAGAGCTGACAAGGACTCCAGAGATTATACATTCAAACCCCTTATTATACAAATCCAGAGGCTGGGGAGCTAAGTGATTAAATGACAGAGACAAGGGTTGAAAGGGGGGATGATGCTTTAGGGCAGCAATATGAAGTTGTCCAGAAATAAGATTTTCCATCAGTCTTTTGCTGCTTTAATGAAATGCCCTCATTTTAATTTTATGTAGCTTGCTATGCAGAAACTGTAAAGCTCCCAGATGTTTAGCATTCTGCCACCACAAGAAGGTCTGTCCCTGGCAGAAGGCAGAACTGGGTCTGAAGGCCAGATCTGGGGTCTCTTTGGACTCTCACAATAGTCCTGTGAAGTGGGCAAAGCAGGCATCTTCCCTCCCATTTCACAGATAAGTAAAAACAAACCCAGGGAGGGACTGACCATGAGAAATTGACTAAATGGACTCACATGAAGCACAGGATCTACCAGGTCTGATCTTAACCCTGAGTCCCTCCCCCCACAGACCACAGCCTGGCAGCCCACCCCCCAGAGTTCACTCCCACTGCCGTACTGGCTTCTAGTCCAGCAGGTTCCTTTTTAATCCTCAAGCCAGAGTGGAAACAGACACTGGGAGGGGAGGGGAGCAGTTGGTTTTCCTGGGATCCAAGACTCAAGGAGAATGGGTCGCAGGGAAATAGAGGGTCTGAGATATGGGGTGGGGGGCAGGACACAGTGGTACCAGAGCACAAGCCAGCCAGGACATAGGGGAACTGGGGCACAGTGGGGCCAGGGCATAGAGGAGCTAGAGGTCTCAGCCCATCACTGGAACTCAACAGGCATCGAAGGAGTCACTTTCCTGGCAGGGCTTTTTCACTCACCATCTGCGTGGAGGAGGAGTTTCTGGGAAAGTGGTGCATTCGAGGAGTTGCTAGGTAATGCTGATAGTGCTGAGGGATGGGCCGCACCTGGAACTGAGCAGGACTCAAGCCAGCATCCACACTGAGATCCCTGCAGGGAAACAACCAATCCAGTGAACCACAGGCTGGTGTGATTTAGCCAGCAGGCTGCAGAAGGGACCTCAGACATCAAGCCTGTGCAGCAGAATGAAAGTCATACACTGCCAGAGCTATAGGGACTTTACCTCCCCCACCCTGCCCCTTTCTGTAAAGGAAAGGAAACTGAGACCCAGAGAAGGAAAGAGTTCTGGAAAGTCTGAAGGCGCTGGAGCAGTCCAGGGCCTGTGAAACTTCTTGAAACTAGGGGAACGAAGCTCCCAAGATAAAGCCCATTCCTGAGAAATACTGAAAGAAGAATCTGAATAGAGCATTTGGGAACACGGAGCAAGGAAAAGACAAGGTCCACGTGTACGTGGAGGAGGGAGCAGAAGCCACGTTTTTACTACTTTGAGAAAACAACAACAAAAACCAGACATCTATAAGTCAGAACGCTTATCCTGGCCCAACTCCTCTCACTCTTAAAAATATAGGGAAACTCATTTCACTGAAAAATTACTTAACTGATCAGTTACACTGAAGAGTAAATAAAGGGAGAACCAAGCCGCTATCCTGTCTTTCCTTTACTAACTATACCGCAGGATAATCAAATAGTTAAGGAGTAAAAATTTCTCTTTATAAAAGTTCTTCAGCTAGTAAATGGACAAGGAATGATTGAATGATTTTTTGCCATTTTGCATCCCCTAAAGAAATAAAGGATCTAGGTAAAGATTATCAATTTCTGCTCATATCACAAAAAGAACTAAACACTAAATGCTTTCTGGTGGGAGAACACCGTACCACCTATAAAGTATTTTTGCCAAGAAATAAGAGTTGAACTTAAATCTGCCTAAACATTAATCTAAGTGCCAGTGTATAGAGAATACAGGAAACTGAGGAGCATCTTAAATGATTACACCAGAATGGAAACAGGAAAATCCATATAAGAGGAAACTCTACAGAAAACAACCAGTATGGTTTCTTAAAGAAATACATTTTTTAAAAAAAGATATGGAGGAGCATTAAAGGAATTTCTCCTTCTAGCCATGATGGGACAAGAGGAATTAGATTTACCTTTCCACTGTAAATCAGTAGAAAACTAAACAGAATGTATGAAATATCTGTTTTCATACATTTTATAGCAAGCAGTGTAGACTGAGATCTCTGGGAGAAGAAAAAATATTTTTCCTTCATTTTTTAGCATTTACCCAGCAGTCTCAGGGAACCCAGCAAATTCAAAGCAGCAAAGATATGTTCAAGGAATTCCACCAAAAGTAAAGTCCCAAGGAACTAGAAACAGTCACCTCAATTCCAAGAATGCTAACTGCAAAGGAGGAAGGCACCTTGCTCCTCAGATAAGTGGGGTGGTCTGCCCTGGGTGGGTCTAGGTGGACTCTGGGGTCTCCCTCTTAGTATCCCATCAGAAAACACCTTCCTAGATCTCAACTACAACAGGGCATGTGGTTCCTCAAATTCTAAAGAAGCTTGGATCAGGACCTGCCCCAAAGACATATCAACCCCTAAGAAAAGCAGTATCTCCCACCTATCTGTTGTTGTCACCAGCTTGAAACTCCTAAGGTTCAGAACCTGCTAAGTTTTATTATGAAACAGGTCATAGAAATTATCCCACAGACCTAAAGCCGCAGGGTTAACACAACACTGTGTTTCGGAAATTTCATTTTTCTTACTTTTGAGATGAAGGAGTCTCATTAAGTTGCTCAGACTGGTCTCAAACTCCAGGGCTTAAAGCCATCTTCCTGCCTCAGCTTCCTGAGTAGCTGGGACTACAGGTGTGTCCCACCATGCCCACCCACCTCTTCTGGAGATTTCTTGTGGTCATTTATCTTGATGTGTAATTTTTGTTCATTGTATCTAAACATTGAACTGAACTTTCTATTTTTTTTTTTTTTTTGCAATTTTTGGCCGGGGCCAGGTTTGAACCCGCCACCTCCGGTATATGGGGCTAGTGCCCCACTCCTTGAGCCACAGGCGCCGCCCTAAACTTTATTTTCTACTGTCAGTGTTTTTAAATGTGGTGTGGTCTGGTTGCTACAGAGACCACTAAGTCCTTCCCAGAATTGGGCCTCCAAAGTGCCAGCACCTTCTTGTGGGTCACTCCAGACTCAGGGGACTTTGGAAGTTTTGCTGAGGTAAGGCTACCTGAGGAGGAGAGGATAGTCGGATACCCTGATCCTCCACCCACCCTCTGCCTGTAGGTCCCAGGTACTGAGACACCTTAGCCTGGGCCGGGCTGGGGTTGGGGCACAGCAGTGTGCAGTTCAGAGGTAGAGTGGAGAGGCCAAGACTGAGTCCAAGAAGGGCACGTTAAGCATGGGGGTGGTGACTCAAGGTCAGGGTCAGGCTCATAGACCAGAAAGGTGGGGCTTGGTGATCCCCCACAGCCACAGGCTAGGATACTCAACTAAGAGAAGCTACTAGGGTGGGGTTAAGGTATCCCCAGGGAGAAAGGCTGAGCAGTCTCAGGCCTGGGGCTGAATGTGGATCTGGCCTGACACCTAGAACCAGCTGGCATGGAACTCAGTGTTTCTGATGGTTCTCTAAAGGAAGGAGCTCCTTGCAGAGGGTGAGAGTGGCCCACCCTATAATGCACTTCCTATTATCCAGTTACCTGGCTGCCCATCTCCTGGCAGAAGCAGCCTCTCTGGAAAAGAGGGCTGGGTGCAGTTAACATGATCACAGTTGCAAAAAAACCCCTCATCACCACCAGACGGGCTGTTGCTGGAGCAGAACTAATTACAAAGGTGAAATAGCTTCCTACTTAGGAAGCAGGGACAAACCAGGCAGAAAGAGCCCAGGGGTGGCCATGCGGGGAACCTCAGGCGGGGCCTCCCAGCATCCCCTGCTGGGGCAGGAACCAGCACCCTAGGGCCTTCTGTTTTATGTTTCTTGGGGCAAGCAGGGCCCAGGAATGTAAAGTGGTTGAAATGAGGGAGAACAGTGAGGAAGTGCCACTAAGTAAAGGAAGCTGAGGACAGGGCCAACACCTGACCTGCTCCCCTAACGTCTCCCCAGAACAGTTCCCTCCTGTATCACCTGCCCAGTCCCTGAGTGTGCGTCCAAATTGCTCAGCTGTGTATAAGGGCCCTGGGTGCTCCATGGGCTGGATTAACTTAAATTGAATTGCCTTGACTGCTGAGGGACAGAATTTAATCCAAACTGCAATTAAATCATCCAATTTGAATCTGCTAATTCTAAAAGGCTGGGCTGATGTTGGCGGTAGTGTAATCTATCTTTTCACGGATTGTTCAATTTAACAGAACATATCTGAGAATGTACAAAGGGCTAGAGACCAGGGAACATGTTAAACTCACTATTCCCTGCACCTGGAGGCACCCTTAGCATATTCAATCAATGAGAGCCATCCTTTTGAATCAATCCTAGGTGTGCATGGAGAGAGTTCCCAAAGCAACCCTTAACTAAGCCATGTTGCCTCACCCAGTGACTGAAAAATGACATGGTGGCACATGGATTTTTTAAAATAGTTCATCCTTTTCCACTGAGGGCTTTTGTGTGTGTGTGTTCTTTAAAGAAACATTTTTGCCCTAAAAGTTGCAAGAACTGCATAAAGAATTCTTAGATACCCTTTACCCAGAGTCCCCAAATGTCCCCATTTTACATTTTATTGAATATCTATTTCCTTCTCTCTCTGTCTCTCTTCCCCCAAATATATACATACATATATACACACATATAAATTCATACACACACACACCCCTCTTTGGAGATAAATAGGGTTTTTTTCCCTGAACAATTTAGAAATAAGTTGCAGGCATGATGCCCTTTTGCTCTAAACTCTCAGTGAACGGCACATCTTCTCAAAGCACACCTTTTTAAAGTATTGGAGAGTTCTGATCCATCCCTAGTTAAGAAAAGCTGTCTCCTGAACTAGAACCAGAGTCAAGTGGGACCCAGGATCCAAAATGGAGCAGCCCTGCATCCCAGGACAACCAAGACCCCTCTTCTGAGTGCAAAAGATTGTAGGGAGACCTCACAGGGGCCCACTGCCTATGAAAACACAAAACAACACTCTTAACCTCTCTCCCAGCTTCTCTCCAAGTCCTTGCCTCCCACCTGACTGCATCTGTCTCCTTTAGCACAGTGTGAGCCTAATCCCCCCATCCACTGAGCTTAGGGAATGTTTTGTGTTCCTTTCTCCCTCCCCCTCTACAGGACCATGAACCTGAAGCCCCAGGCTGCACACATGATGGCACCCAGCTATATCTGAGCTAATCGCTGGCACCAGGCCCAGCTGGGGTCATGTGGCACTGCGGGTTTCTGGGAGCAGAGGCAAAGGCTGAGGCCTGAGAATTAGGCTTCCCGTACCATTCAAAGTGAAGGAAAACAGGAACACCACAGATCTGGCGAGACCTCCCTCCATCCCTCCCATCCCCAGGGACCCCAAAGACTTACCAGTCAGTGCCCTCAGCCAAATACCTGGGCTGAGGTGTCTGCAGTTGATGGCCGAAGTCAAAGCTGGGGTGGAGGCGGTGGGGGTGGACAGACACACGCTCCTGACTCCGCCTGCGTCAGAGGGGAAGGAGGGCCATGGCATCAGAGGCTCCCCAGGCCACCCAGCTTCCAGGAGCTAAGCAACCCCAGCCAGCCTAAGGGTGCAGCATTTCTGCAATCCCACTCAGAGACCCTCTTCCCAAACTCCCAAGAAGCTTCTCAGATGAGCAGCAGTCAATAACTCAGACATTCTGTCTTCTGGCTGCCCACTCTTGTGAAGTCTCTCCCTAGCCATGCCTGCTGCAGGTACCTGGCCCACCCAAACTCTGCCTCCTCTACTCTCCTACTGCTCCCCCTCTGTCCTTGGTGGACCATCTTCAAGACACACAGACTCACCACCTGCAGGCTCTCCTGCCTCTGTGCAGCCCTCTGCTCCCACCATACTCTTCTCTTCTTACCCCCTGACATTCTCTTCTCAGCTTTCACATTCCAGGTCAAATCCTACCTCTCCAGGAAGGCCTCCCAGAACATCCCAGATCATGGTGACCTCTCTTTCAGCAATCCAACTCTACAATCATTGACACTTAGGAGATTAGAAACTATCTAGTCCAACGGTTCTCAAGGAGTACTCCAAGCATCCTTGGGAGGCCCTGAAACCCTCTCACGTAGTTTGATGGGTCAAAACTGTTTTCCCAATGATACTATTATGTTTTATGCCTTTTCACTCTCACAGGTGAACAGTAGGGTTGTTCAGAAACTATGTGACATGGGATTCTGCAAGATTGAATGCAGAAGCAGATATAAGAACACAGCTGTCTTCTATTAAACCATAGTTTAAAGATATTTGCAAATACATTAAAATATCACTCTTCTCACTAAATTTATATATAGTAGTTATTTTTCATGAAAATGTGTTATTAACACATTAGTGTGACTGTTATTGTTATTTTAAAATGAATTAATATTTTAAAATGTTTTCAGTTTTCCTTTTTTTTTTTTTTTTTTGAGATAGAGCCTCAAGCTGTTGCCCTGGGTAGAGTGCCATGGCATCACAGCTCACAGCAACCTCCAACTCCTGGGTTTAAGCGATTCTCTTCCTCTGCTGGGACTACAGGCACTTGCCACAATGCCCGGCTATTTTTTGGTTGTAGTTGTCATTGTTGTTTGGCAGGCCCAGACTGGATTTGAATCCCCCAGCTCTGGCTTATGGGGCTGTAGCCACTTGAGCTACAGGAGCCAAGTCAATTTTTTCAGTTTTCATTTCTAAGATGGTAAACATCAATAGTCATGACTTACATAAATAAGGTGTCTGTAGTCATCATTATTAATTTTTTTTTTTTTTGCAGTTTTTGGCCGGGACGGGGTTTGAACCCACCACCTCCGGCATATGGGGCTGGCGCCCTACTCCTTTGAGCCACAAGCACCGCCCAGTCGCCATTAATTTTTAAGAGTTCAAAAGGGGTCCGAGAGACCTAAAAGTTTGAGAACCACTGATCTAGTTCAACTCTTTCTCAGATGAGGCGAGAGAGGGGTTGTGACCGGCCCAGGGCCCCACAGCCACTTCAGACCCATTTGACTAATATTGTCTGATTTTACTCTCCATTTGAGGGGTTTCTTGGGGATACAGCTGACTTTCCAAGTAGAGTGCTAGACCGTGGCGTGGACTCTTTCAGGGAAGGGCTGGAACCGACTTTCTCCTTTGGTATTCTTTAGGGTTCTTGTGTATCAGACACAGGCAGTCATAAAACCAGAGGGACATAAAGGATTCCCTAGTCAAATTTCCTGCCACTTCTTGCAGAAGTCCACTGTGAACATCATGGACCACCAGACACCTGTCCTCTGACCCTGCACCAGGGTAAAGAGATAAACAACCGCTTTTGAGGGAGCCACGCTGGTTTAGGGCAGCGCTTACTGCCTGAAATGAATGCCGCTGAGGCAAGACCTCCTGCAGACACTCTCTTGGTGACTGAGGATAGTCCTGGCAGGATAGAAGCTTAGTATCCCAATCCCCAAACCCTCCTCCTTGCCCGGCCACGAGGCTATCCCAGCTCTCTTCCTGGCCCCTGCCCCAGTTCTGGCCCCACCCCTCTTTCCGGCCCCGCCCCCTCCAGGGCCCCACCCTCTTCTCTGCTCTGATCCGAGGCAGCACCCACCTGGGGTGCGAGACGAGCCTGCGGTGCTGGGCTTCCAGGAGCTGCTGCTGCAGGAGGTATTGCTGGTGCAGGGCCTGAGGTAGGAAGGAGGGACCTGTGACGTCCTGGAACTGAAGGGTGGGCAGCGGGGTCAGCGACTGGTGCAGGGCGCCGCTGTGCTGGTGGGCCGGGGCCATGTGGGCGCTGAGGCCCGGCTGCGACTGCACGGGGTGGGCCAGTGGGAAGTCTGGGGCGAGCTGCTGCGGCTGCGGGGGGCCCAGGTGGAAGTGGCGGCAGGAGGTAGCGTGAGGATGCTGAGACCTTTGAAAGGGGGCACCTGGGGAGGCAAGGACAGAGACACCTCCTTGAGGACCAGCGCAAGGGCACGCCCACACTGACACTGAGCAGCCTGGAGCTGGTGAGACTCAAGACCTTCATTAGAGCTCAGTAGTTTCATCACTTCCGTATACATGTGGTCATCTTTACTGCTGCCAAGTAAAGGCTCTGTGTCAGAGGGGCAGAGAGTATTTGCTTAACTGAATAGACAAGCATCCTTTTTTGTAATTAATACTCTTCTTTAGAAAGTTTAAGGTCTCTAAAGGCAGTAGAGCAGTTTGGTTTTTTGACTTTACCTTTTTCTTTTCTTTCTTTATTTCTTTTTTTTTTTTTTTAAGAAAGGGTATCTCCCTCTGTTGGGCAGTCTGGAGTAGAGTGGCACAATCATAGCTCACTATAACCTGGAACTCTTGGGATCCATCAATCCTCCTGATGCAGCCTCCTAAGTTACTGGGACTAAAGTCACGCACTACCACATCTGGCTCATTAAGAAAAAATAAACTTTTTGTTTTTAGAGATAGGGATCTTGCTGTATTGCTCAGGCCGGTCTTGAACTCCTAGACTCAAGAAATTCTCTGCTTGGCCTCCTAAAGTGCTGGGATTGCAGGTGTGAGCCATCAGTCCCAGTGACTCTACCTTTTCTGATAGATATTACACCAAAAAAAAATTATGCCAGCCTTCACTAAAGCCTTGGCTAGGTAGAACCCAAACTTTATGGAGCCCAGATTTCCAGAGAAAAAACAAAAAGTTGTTTTTTGTGCAGTTTTAAGAAAAAAACTAAATCACACAAAATTTTTTATTTAAACTAAGTAAATAATTTATTAAAACATTATAATCTATTCAAAAGCAAATATGTCCAGGTGTAAGTTAATTTAGGCTCCAGTACTTTTCTAAATAAAATTGAGCTTGATGACAAGAAACCCTTACAAATTCTCTAAGACCACAAATCTCATTCTAAGCACTGGAGGGAGTCCTTTAATGCCACAAGGAAGTAGACCCAGCATTTCAGAAAGATTCCCAGGGAACTTCCTTCTAAGCACGGCAGACTCACTGCATGTCTGTTCCTTCCCAAACCCCACTGAAGTGAGAGCAAAAGAATAAAGAAAAGATAAACAGGCAAGGACAGAGAGAAAAGAGAGGTGACATCAGCAGGCAACAGATGTCAACAGATTTTTGGAAGACAGAAAGCAGATGAAGGAATTAGCAGAGATGAAAAATCGGAAACCAAAAGCCCACCAAAGGGGCCATCAACAAGAAGTGGCCAAATCTTGCCACATAATGCTGGAAGGTATTGGCCACTCCAGAAGGCTGGAGCAAGAGCAGAAGTGAGAACAGGAGGACTGTTCACAGTCTTAGAAGGAGCAGTTACACCCAGGGTTCCTCTCCTGTCCCAAACAGGACAGTGACCACCTCTCCCAGAGAAGCTCTAATGTGGGGAGCATAACTCCAAGCAGAGGAAGGCAGGGTCACCCCACCATTGTAACACAGGGGGATTACGTGAACATCTACGTATGGGACATTAGACCCCCTGACCCTTCTGCCACTTGGTTCCAAAAATATAACCAAGGAACAAGCCCCTTCCCTGCACCCTCCCTAACCCCAGACTGAAGCCAAGGGATTTTCTTTGCAGAAAATCATTGATCCCAGGAAGAGTTTTGGTTGAAAGCATCCCAATAAAATGATGGGGTTCCCAACTGACCACTCTATAATGAAGCCCACTAGTTGAAAAGTCCTTTCTCACACATGGACACATAGAGCTTCTAGACAGCTTCTAGTGACCTGCTCTTCAACATATACAGACTGCCCAAGGGTGACCAGGCTCTTGATTACAAAGAGAGCAAGAACATACCAAATTTTTAAAAGTAAACTTAGAGGAGTAGAGAGAATGCAAAGACAAAAAAAATTAACTTCAGCACACTATAATTAATATTCTCAGAGAAATAAGATGTTGGATCATGAAACAAAAGGAAACACTTTAAAAAGAGTGCTGAGGAAAGGAGAGAGAGAGAGAGAGAGAGAGAGAGAGCTCTTGGAAGTTAAAAATTTACAAAGTGAAATCTAAAATTCAAGAGCAGGGTTAGAAGATAAAGATGGCGACATTTCCCAGGAAGCAGAATGAGAAGACAAAGAAATGGGAAATAGGAGAGAAAAGATGCAAACACTGAAGGATCCGGTCAGAAGAGTCCACATTTCACTAGTAAGAGAGAAAGGACGAAGGCAATAACAGGGAGAAAATTATGGGGAAAAAAATGATGAAACCTATTTCCCAGAACAGGAGGTCTGCATTACTAGATAGAAACGGCCCTCTGAGCGCCCAGTAAGATAGGTGGGAGAAAGAACCAGTGTCTCCCCGCGAAATGTCCAAACAATAGGACAAAGAGATGATTCTAACACCTAGAAAGAAAGCAGACAAATCCCTACAAAGGGTCTTCTGGAGATTAGGATCACTTGAGATTTTTCCACAATGACACTGGAAGCTTAAAAACAGTACAGCAACTGCCTTCAAGGTACTGCAGGAGGAAAATGATTTGCATTCTAGAATTCTCTGCCCAGCCACACCATTAATCAAGTATGAGAATAGCATAAAGCCCTTTTCAAACAGACAGGATCTCAAAAAAATTAACCCTCTCAACTCTTTTTCCCATGGAGGTAACTGACACAAACCAAGAAAGAAGAACACAAAACAGGAGCTGCACCCACAGAGGTGGAAGGTTCCTAAGTGCACAGCTGCGCAGGCTCCGGCAGCCAGCAGGAGAACAGGAGGGTGAGGGCTTAGAGGAGATTTGGAGGGGAGGAGGCTGGAGACGACAGGATTACCGATAAATTTGGCCCCATGGAAATAGTGTAAAATAGTGTAGATTTGTGAAGAAATTTTACAGTTTGATAGAGAATTGGGTAAGACTTGTAAAAAGGTCATAGAAAGCAAAGCAACGAAATAAAAAAATAATGCAATTACCACTAAGAAAAGAAAGTTGTCCAGAAAGTGTAACTGTCTGTGTTATGCTCTACTTGTTGGCCCAGGAGTACAATCTATTAACAATAAAACAAATAATGATTAAGTAGGTTAGAACTGAAAAGGACATTGCTCTCATAACGTGAACAACACAGACAGGGTCAGAACTTGAGAATATCAACAAGTAGCCGTCTAATTGTTTATGTGGAAATGTGCTTAGTAATTTTTGTCTTTCAGGAAGTAAAGGACAGAAGAAGAGTTGAAAGTGTTGTGGTTGAGGGCGTTTGACTCTGGTGGGAGGCAAGGGGCAGACAATAGTTCCTTTGCTAAATGTGTCCTTATATTGGTTTGTTCAACGTGGTTAATTACGTGCACGTCCTTGATAGGCATTTAAAAATCTCTTAAAGATAACTATTTGCAAAAGGAAGTGAAAATCCAAGCAAGCCAGAAGAGAATCATCTAGAACAGTGATTTTCAACCAGTGTGCCATGAAGGGATCTTAAAATGATCCCTTTGAAAATTTGTAAAGATCACTAATCAAATTACTTTTGAAAGAAGTTCAAAGCACAGAAAGTATATTCTTTTTCTCTCTCTCTCTCTTTTTTTTTTCTTTTGGATCAACATAATTTCAGTGTGCCATGGAAATTGAACTATAGGTTCCAGTATGCCGTGAGATTATAAGGTGGGCCTGTCTGCCTTATGAATCTGGGCTTTGGTGAGTCCAGGGGCTGGGGCCCAAGCTAACAGGCTCCTGTCCTTACCCGCCATCTATTATCACACGTGACAATGAAAGAGAAGGAGCGGGAGATTGAATGAGAGCAGGAAGAGGGAGGAAGAGCCCTAGAAGAATAAAGAAAAGAAGACAGACATGACTACAAAGGAAGGGAATGGTCAATAAAAATATAGTTGAAACTTCAACCCAGCTCTGTCCGACAAAATTATGATATGCGCCACATAAGGACTTTTCAATTTTCTAGAAGCTACCTTTTACAAAGTAAAAAGAAATAGGTGAAACTATTTTTAATAACACACATTAAGGCTGGGTGCAGTTGCTCACACCTGTAATCCTAGCACTCTGGGAGGTCGAGGCAGGTGGATTGCTTGATCCCAGGAGTTCGAGACCAGCCTAAGTAAGAGTGAGACCCCCTCTCTACTAAAAAGAGAAAAAAACTAGCCGGGCCTTGTAGTGCACACCTATAGTCCCAGCTAGTTGGGAAGCTGAGGCAAGAGGATCGCTTAAGCCCAAGAGTTTGAGGGTGCTGTGAGCTATGATGCCAAAGCACTCTATCCAGGGCAACAGAATGACACTCTGTCTCTAATAATAATAATAATAATACATGTTATATAGCTCAATAGATCCTAAATATTATTTTAACATGTGCTCAATGTAAAAATATTATTAGGATATTTTACTTTTTTTTTCATACTAAGTCTTCAAAACCTGGTCAATATCTTGTACTTACACACATCTCGATTCCCCTAGCCCTGTTTATTCTGAGAGCCCGCAGATGCTGGAGGTGAATGGCTTTCTTATTGGACATTGTAACTCTAAAGAAAAGATGCCAACTCCAGTCACAGAGCAAAGCATTTCAGCCACTTTCTCTAATTGATCTGCCTTCTCCCCAGCCATCCACATCGATCTGCACAAAATTCAGACACTCCAAGCACATTCCTACTGGGTGGCCTGCACTCCCACCTCCCTGGCTGCCTTCCCCATTTTTAAAGGTCTGAGTCGCCTCTCAGCTTCTCAAAAAATGCCTCCCCTGCCCACCAGCCCCCAGGGATGCCTTCCTCCTCTGGCACTGAGAACACCCTGTCTCTCCCCCACACTTGGCACCTGGTGGTGGCCACCTTGAGCTGTCTCTTCACACTGGCCACCCCCACCCGGCTGGGCTTCACGTCTTTACTGTTTCTGGATCCCCACGCGCCTCACTGGGGGCTGGCGTTCAATAAACACCTGGTTGTGGACTGATTGTCGGAGGGAGTGAGGGAAAACAGTGACTCAAAGGGACTGGGGACTGAGCTGGCTGAAGGCAGATGGGTTTGAA